ACATATTATTATGAAAATTAATAATATTATTAATTTTCATAATTTAATTATTCATCTCTGGTTTGACCTAATGCATCCATGCATCTTGCATATTAGTACTAGTGCTAGTACTTTAGTATTTTTAGTTCCTCATGATGTTTGTGCAGTATAATATGAATGAATACTATACTTGTACATTATACATTTAATACATTTATTCATAACATAAATATCACCTTGTACAATACTTTATTCCGAATTGCCGCACTTCGTTTAGTCGTTTCGCGTAGTATCTAACCATTCTAACCTACCCACCATATCCGATTAACGATAAACCCATTCAATAATAATATGATAATAATTAATCATTGAATATAGAAAAATATTTCGTCACCAAAACCTGCAAAAGATTGTCAGACAACGCGGTGGTCTAGCGCCGATCCGGTTTTGTACGTGGCGACGTTTTCGTTGCCCCGCGTGGATGCCCTGTTCGTTATCATCGATACGCAAATGTTATCAATTATCGTGTTGTTAATTTGTTATTCGACAATATTTTTTTGTGCATTCTTCRTTACAATACAATCGTCGTTTCACGTTTGCGTATGTCATGTCACGGATTCCAATACATTTCTAGTAGACCGGCGTGTGTTCGTTTTGTCGGTGATCATTACACCAAAATTCTACAAGTATTTATCGTAGCCAACTATAACCATGAACCCCAATCAAYATTACTCGGASAAYTCGTACTTTGTATCTGATGACAATCTCAACTTCCAYGCCGGTTCGTATCCYAGCTATGATCAGAGTTTTGACAGCTATTCGCAACCAGCCCAGTTGAACAAGCCAAGTGCCTCGTCATGGCAGGCTGCACCTACTACGAACTTCACCGGTGAGGAAGACGAACCTCCTCTGCTTGAAGAGCTGGGCATCGACCTTAACAAAATCATCATTCGCCTGATGCACTCGCTGGACCCGACCGGCAAGTGTGGTGTCGTGCTTGGTGATTATGACGTTATCGGACCGATTGCATTATACCTGACGTACACGTCGTTGTTACTGTTGGCTGGCGGCAAGCTTATGTTCAGTTACATATATGGATTGGCYGTGTTAACGTCGGTGTGCATGTATGGCTTACTCTGGGCTATGACTGATTCATCTGAAGTCACATTGACGTCTACGTTTTCTGTACTGGGCTACTCTTTTACACCTGTTGTACTGGTGGCGTTGCTTGCCGTGTTTGTTAACCTCAAGAACATATTTGGYGCCATCATCGTATTGGCGGCCGTGTGCTGGAGCAGTATGAATGCAGCCAGGGTGTTTGTTGCCATGTTCGGAAACTCCGATCAGAAGTATTTAATGGCTTATCCGTGTGCAATCATCTGTGGTTTATACACACTGTTTATTTTGTATTGAAATTATTAATGTTCATTAATTTAAATGTTACTTGTAATTATTATAATTTTTTTTTCTTTTAATATATTTATATACAATAATATATAATGTTGTWCAATATTTATTTCTACAATACCAGTTTCTTGAAAAAAACATGCGTTACATCATTCATCATCAGGTGAGACTTTAATACTGTGAAAAAAATTACAATATCTTGTTTCCTTTAGGATTTTAWTCTATGAATAAATATGTATGTTTCTTATTTGTATAATAATGGTGAGACGCATAGTAGGTAGTTGTGAAGTAATAAAGTATTTAGCTATTTGATTTTAGTTAGGTATGGCCATTGCCGTAATGTTGTKATAATATTAAATAGTAGGTTTAMCTGCCTTATAAATTAAAATATGAAATGTTCAAATATATAATATAATAAATTAAATTGTCTTTGAAAAATTTTTCTTGAATTTTCCATTAAATTTTTGACACATTTTTAGAAATTTACAAAAAACAGATTATCATCTAAATATTTTTAACTTGAATTTAAGATAGTCTGTATTTATAAGAATTACAAATAATTATTATATGAACATAAATGTATAAATTAATATTATAATATAATATAATTAGGTAAATACATTCAAAAAGAATTTAAAAATGTTTGATAACATTAATTTAGTTTGGTCACCTGTGTCATTTCCTTGTTATAGGTACTAAATGAATGAAATTAAATCTGTTTACTATTATTATGTAAATATCATAAACTGGAGTGTGCACAATTTACTAATTATGCATTGTTATTTAGCTTTGCCATCTGAAGTCCAACAGCCTATACTTGTTTGTACTGCACATATACATTGGGATCCTGAATTCTGTGATGTCAAGCTCATACAAATCATGATGTTATCAAATGAACTGAACACTATAYTRGAAGAAGCTAATCGTAATTACCGTAATGTAAATCACCATCAACCTCCAATACAGCTGTTATTGTGTGGGGATTTCAATTCATTGCCTGACTCAGGTATAAAATTATTTTGTCATGTTTTGTGTAGTTACATGTTGATTATTATTGGATTTAACTTTGGTTTGTTTTTATTTTTTCTTTATTTATTTAGGAGTGATAGAATTTTTGTCTGCTGGTAAAGTATCTTCAGATCATCAAGACTTTAAAGATCTGCAGTACAAGACACTTCTACATAAAATTTCTACATGTGATAGACCTAACGAGTTTATGCATTCCTTCAAGTTATCATCTGCTTACGAAAACATAATGCCATTTACAAATTATACGTATGTTATTKAAAAATGTTGTTCTGATGAATTATTTTTGATATTTAAAATGTATATTTTAGATTCAACTTTAAAGGCATCATTGATTATATTTTCTACACTAGACAGACTATGACGCCTCTTGGTTTGCTTGGCCCATTAGCTCCTGAATGGTTTAAAGACAATAAAGTACTTGGTTGTCCACATCCTCATATACCGTCTGGTAAATAACTTTTGGAACACATCATTTAATTTTAGTTACTTCAATTTATGTAATTAATTCATGCAATTTTAATTTTCAGATCATTTTCCTTTGTTAGTAGAATTTGAGTTATCGCCAAATGCACACCAAAGCAATTCAAATGGATTGATTGGTCGAAGGTAGCCTCAACGTCGGTTAAAAACCGTCAAAAAACATTWATCACCAATATTATACTAAGCGTATGTACATGTAACAAACACTCACTACGCCTTTTGTATCACAATAACAGTAAATAATTTGAATTACTGTGCCTATCCTCTTTTAACGTATGTCATTGACTTCATATGCAAATAATAATCTGTTAAAAACAAAAAAAAATCCCACGACTACATTTTTTCTTATTTATTTTTATGAACAAATGATAAACTGGAAAAGGTAATAAGAAGTAAATGTATCAAAACAAAAATTAGTTGTGAATTATTATTTTATAACTTAGCTATTTATCATCTTAGTTTATTTTATGTATGTAAAATATATCTCTCGCCACTCCTAATTTATTTTCAAATTTTTGTATACTACACCATAGATAAATTCTAACAAATATTTGTTGAGAGTCTTTTGTTTTACTTAATAATTACAGTTTTAACTATTGTAATGACTATATTTTTTTTTTTTGTATAACAAAATGTTTAGTCACTTATTTTTTACCTAAAATAATTAAATTTGCATTTATTTTAGCAATGCTGGAACATTTTTTTTTTGGCAACATTTTTTTCATTAATATTATTATTTTTTTTTTTATAATATGTGAATTAATTATTCTCATGTTGCTAAAAATACATTAAACTGATATTTAGTATTTTAATTCAAAAGTTTACAATCTTATCATAGATAATCTATTGGTATTCCTCCTGTACACATTATACACATTTAGTTTTCTGATATWTTGTATTATTGTGAAATGTTATAATGTTTTAATTTTTTTATGAATAATTTTCGTTTAATTTTAATACCTATGTAATAAATTTCATCATTGTAATGAAAGTATAAGAATTACTTMACAAATAAACTTAACCGTATAGCAACTGATTTCATAAGTATATTTACTGTCATCAATAGAAAGCACAGTAACACATATAATATATCATTGTTTTTATTATTTTATATTATACTCTCAATATCAGTATTTAAATATGAAATGAAATGTTTGATCAATGTCCTAAGAATCAATGTAAACACGTAACTTGTATTACTTTAAATGTAGTGTTAAATAAATTAAAGTTTGCTACTGATAGACTTTCAATAGACTTTATATAAAAAAATAACATTATCTATATAATAGCAATAATTGATTTATAGTAATTGAGTACGTACTGATAGATTATTTTTCTAGTATATTTAATGAGATAATATTGTTAAACTTGCAACTATAGAATATAAATATCGATCTGAAACGCTGTATGAGTTAATTTTCACAACAGTTACAAAATGCACACACATGTATTTATTATAATCATCATACCTATACTGTTAAGACTTAGTTCCTAAGYGTGTTATTGTTGATGTATAATAATGTATTCTGAYAATTTTTTTCCATGTGTTACAGAGACATACTAACATACCTAACATATTTTTATGTACGAGTTAAGGCTAATTAAGTTAGTGCACACAGTGGCTTTTTTGGTACTTACTCTGACATTAAATCTTTCTTTTCGTCCCATAAATTCTTAAAATAATTTTCTTTTGTTCATGATTCTTATAATTTAAAAGTTTTGCAATTTTCTTTCAAATGTCGCCTAAGAACCGAGTATGCCAAATGGTGACTTTATAATGTTAGGTAACGTCGAGGACCACCTATTACCCTTAAATGTAGGATAAAATAATAATTTTTTCAAATGTGTGTTTTCGTCGTCATTCCGAACTAGTTTTTAGTATTTTTTGTTTTGTAATTTTGTTTTCCTTCGATTCTCTCATTGCTTCATCAGAACTCTATAACATAATATAGTGTACGTCTACGGGAGTACGAACTATGTAACGCACTCCTACAATTAATATCCTTTTAAATTTTAGGCCTTTAGTAGTAAGCTTTTTAGTATTTACGTATAACGGTTATCTGTGTTCCGTGGAAACTTCAAAATGACATTAAATATTTGATCAACCGTATCCTGATAAAATGATCAAAACGAAGAAAACTCGAGTATTAGATTCAAGCTTTTTACACATTTTTTTGGGGGGAGGGGGGGGCTAATTTTAA